TACCATGGAAGACTAGCTTTGAAAAGACATGGTATTGAAAGGAATATAACATGATAAGATGTTATAACCATGAATTACCTCAAACTAGTAGTTCCTAAGGTTTCTGACTGATGTGACATACTGCTATTTCTCTTGAAAATTCAATATATTTAAAATATCCAGTGGTGCCCCTGTGAGTTGGCTGTGGCCCCAGGGGGCCTTGGCACACTGTGGTCCTAAATAAATCCTTTTACATTTATTATTGTTTAACCCTTAACAACCCTATTGGGTAGGTTTGTTGTCATCGACACCTTCTCTATGGAGAAATTATGCAACTTGCCCAACAGCATATAGTTTCTAAGTAGCACAGCCAGGATTTGAACTCAAGTGGTTTGGCTCCTCAGCCCACACTCTTAACCTTCGATATGCTGAATCTCCTGACACTTCTATCTTAAGAGTCTAAACCTGACTTATCTTCTTTTCCCAAAATAGCCATTCTTCTTGATTCTCTCTGTTTTTGTTCCAGTCCTGGTCACAGGACCTAAAGTAGAAAGGGCACACAGAGGCTTTTAGCACTCATTATCAGTTGGCTTTCCCATCTCTGTTTGTTGTAGTTGAGGGAACACTATTCCTGAGACCTTCCTTTCTATCTCTAGGTGGACTTTTAGATAGTTCTTTTTTACTGAAACAAAACCAAGGGAAGGATTTTTTTTTTTTTTTCAACTCTACTGAATGGGGCACCTGAGTGGCTCAGTCAGTTAAACGTCCGACTCTTGATTTTGGCCCAGGTCATGATCTCAGAGTCATGAAACTGATCCCATGTTGGGCTCCACGCTGGGAGTGGAGCTTGCTTGAGATTCTCTATCTTTATGTGTACCACCCCCTACCCTCACTGTGCATAAGCATGAGCACTCTCTCTCTAAAAAGCAAAAAACACACTCCACAGCAAGTTTTCCTGCGTAGGTCAAGTTTTAAAAAACATGGTACACGTTCCATAAATACTTGTTGGATAAATGACTACATTCAGAGTATGACTACCTCAGGTTTGGACAGTCATGATCAAATACTGGTTCCTAATAAATTTTTTGCTATCAACAAAAGTACCTTTTTTGTTTTTTTAAACTAGCAAGTGCGGGCATCCCTGGGTGGCGCAGCGGTTTGGCGCTTGCCTTTGGCCCGGGGCGCGATCCTGGAGACCCGGGATCGAGTCCCACGTCGGGCTCCCAGTGCATGGAGCCTGCTTCTCCCTCTGCCTGTGTCTCTGCCTCTCTCTCTCTCACTGTGTGACTATCATAAATAAATAAAAATTAAAAAAAAATAAAAAAAAATAAAAAAAAATAAACTAGCAAGTGCTAGCCACAGGGAGGAATTATAAGTAAGTCCTACACTGGAAGAGATTATAATTTCAAAACCTTCAGGGCCATTTTTATACTCGTTTATGCTTCTGCTTTCCCAGATCTGAGCCCTATTGTCAGATCTTGTCAGTTTTTCCTTCAGAGATTCTCCTGAATCTGTCTCTTCAGCTGTTTCTATCGGGCTTTTATAGTACCTGATACCTCGGCCTATAATAACCTCCTGGGTGGTCTGTTACAATCTCTCCTCAGTCTCACCCACCTGCTGCAGTGCTATCACTTTATTCTTAAATGATCACTGAGAGTATATCTAAGTCCTGCTCATAAGCCCAAAGTGCCTGCTGCCAAATCCTTAACTCAAAATTCTTTACAATTTGCACCTGACCTACCTTTTCAATACTGATGTTTGCATCCATATATTCTATCACAAAATGCCTAGCAAGGACATTAAGGAGTTGAAGGTAGGGTGACTAAGACAGTCCCCAGGGAGCTTACAGTCTTTAATAAAGGAAACGGAATGTGCACAAAGAAAGCTCCCACACAAGGGACAAAACGTGCAGTGACTTCCCACAGCCAAGGTGTTATGGGAAGTCAGAAGTTAATTCTGCCTGGAGGGTCAGGATGTCTTGGAAGAGGCAGCATTTGATTAGGTCTTGAAGGGAAGCAGAGCTTTAATAGATGGAGAACAAAGACTGCCATAAAAACAAGCAAAAGAACAGAGGTAGAATGTAAGGGCCAAGTCTGGTTTCCACACGGTACATGTGAGGCAGACTAAGAGGTACAGCTGAGAAGGAAGATTTAGGGCTGAATCCCAGATAATTATGAATGCTTGACCAAGAGTTTGGACTCTGACATTTATTCATTCCTTCAGCAAGTACTTATGGACTAACTACAACAGGCCAGACTGTGGGTTCAGCACTAGGTATGGAGTAGAGAGCATGACAGACACGATCCTGGGCCTCTCAAAGCTTACGCTCTTAGGTGAAGGCAATAAGGATCCACTGATGATGGTGAACCAGATGTCAACACCAAAGTGGTACTTAAGAACATTCTGGCATCAGTGTATACTAATTGCATCGGGGAAGAAACAGAAAGGAGGCCATGTATCACATTAAGTACAGGGAGGGATGAGGCCCAAGTTGGGGTAGTGGTAATGGAGGACATAAAGTCATGGAAGTTATTAAGAAGAAATAATATTAGGCTCAACACTTGAGTGGATATAGGCAGAGGAGAGGGAAAACAGGGAAGAGACAGATGTAAAAATGAAATATAAAACTGGGAAAAAAATCAGAATAGTGGTTGGCTCCAGGGGTAAGGACTGACTGGGAAGGGGTATGAGAAAGCTGTTTCAGATGATAGTAATGTCTGTATCTTGACAGAGGTTTGGTCACGTTTGTGCGCATTTGTCAAAACTCACCAAATGGTATATAAACGTGTACGTTTGTGCATAAGTAAATTCCAGTGGAAAAAAAAAAAAGCCCTGAATCCAGATATTAAACCTAAGTTAATGATATGCAGGCTGAAGTCTTTAGGGGTGTGTATGGTATCTATAATTCACATTATAGATGTATAATTTACATTATATAGATGTATAATTTACATTATATTTATAATACATTATAAAAGTTGGATTGATGGATGGACAGGTGTGTGATAAAGCAAAGAGCAAAACAGTAACTACAGAATCTCATTGGGTGGCATATGGTGTTCACTGTACAATTTCAAAGCTTTTTGTTTGAAAAGTTTCATGATGAAGTGTTGAAAAAAATGATTATAAGCATATAGTTTCGGGGCAGCCCGGGTGGCTCAGCAGTTTAGCGCCACCTTCAGCCCAGGACCTGATTCTGGAGACCCGGAATCGAGTCCCATGTCAGGCTCCCTGCATGGAGCCTGCTTCTCCCTCTGCCTGTGTCTCTGCCTCTCTCTCTCTTTGTGTCTCTCATGAATAAATAGATAAAATCTTAAAACAAAAAAAAGCATATAGTTTTGAGTTTGGGTTGACTGGAAGGACACAGGGAACACAGAAGCAGGTGGAGGAGGAGCTGCAGGTTTGGGAATCTGGATGATGAGCATAATTAGGGACACATGGGTATGAAGAACCCAAGGCATCTAGGTGGAAATACTTATCAGGCAGTTAGAAACGCAGGATTAGAGTTCACTTGTTTTGCTAGGCTACTTCGTAAATGTCTTTCTGCTTTCTTGTGTTCCCTTCCACTGAAATCCTTTCTCTTCTATAGGCTTTCTCTGACCACCCTGCCCTCCTCTACTCAGTGCTGTAAGATTAGCTATGGCTCTATCATATATTACTAGAATGGAAATTCTCAGGAGAAATAACAATCTTACACAGAATATGTATGATTTAACGAAGCAATTTTCAAATAAACAAATGAATATAAACCTGACCTAATAATTGACTATCCAGGTCTTTATGCTCACACTCATTCTTGGCTTGGAAGGTATAGTTTTGCTTTTAATTTCTTAATTACATACTTAAAAGGCACTCTTTGGAGTACCTGGGTGGTAGAGTCAATTAGGCATCTGCCTCTTGGTTTCAGCTCACATCATGATCTCAGGGTGTTGAGATCGAGCTCTGCACTGGGCTAAGCACAGAGCCTGCTTAGTTTCTCTCTTCTTCTCCCTCTACTCCTGCCGTGCGCACGTGCTCTCTCTAAAATAAAGAAATCTTAGGAAAAAAAAAAAGATACTCTTTGTAGTGGGAAACATTACACCTCAATTACAGACTGAAGTGAAACTGCCATTTCCAAATTCTTAATATACTTGACTTTTTCCTTCTTAATATCTCCTCTTTAATCTGACATTTCAGTTTGCATAACTCTAAACAAAGGAAGAAAATGGTTGTCCTTAGGTGGAAAAACTAAGTTTTTTGACCTTCTTCTTTCCACGAGTCTGAATTTCTAAATTTCTATAAGATTAATACATTACTTTGATAACAGGGGAAACTTATTTTTTTTTCTTTTTTAACAGAAAACCTTTAGTAACATAGTCTCAGCCCTGAAAGCACAACTGCTAGATTTCTTGAGCTGCAGGAAAGTTCAACCAAGGTCGCTGATTTCTCCTTCCTATCTCCTCAGCAATCAGTGTGCTCCTGAAGGTCTGGAGCTATGTCCTGCCCAGCTTGGCACCTCTCTACACCACCTAGAGCACTGGGCTGGGTAAACAGCAAGCACTTGCCTGTTGAAAGAACATACATTTGACACTAAAAATAATACCAGAAAGTGGCCCACACCAGTTAGCGGAAGGCCATTGATTCATTCCATTAACCTGGGTCGTTATTTTCCTAATTTTGAAAATGTGTTTCTCAAAACGAACTAGAAAATACCTTTTCATCTCTCTCAACTGCCCCAGGCAGACAGTGCTGCCCAGTGAAAGGAACTGGGTTCGGCTTCTTCTGTGAATTCCAATTTCAACGGTATCCCTAAACCTATGCTTGGCACGATGGGAGACCACCATTATCGAAAAACCCATGAAAAATTAAGATTGCTCCTGTTTTTGAACTGGAGAGACTTGGTCCCTGGCAATATCTTACACCTCATGTCATCCCATGAGATTGGCCTCACCACACTTCCTGCGGTTCACCTCAGCTGCCTAATTCCAAGTCCACTTACTACTATCATCACTCACTCCCCAACACTTAAAAAAATGGTTTACCTTTTCTCCTCTCTCTCTCTCTCTGTCTTTCTCCTCTTTTTTCTTTTTTTTCTCACTGTGCCCGTCCGTGTGGAGGCTGGGCAGGGGAGGGGGAGGGGCAGCAGCTCCAGTGTGTGGGACGCTGGGAGGAGGAGGGGCAGGTGTGACCTCTCCTGCTGGGGCAGCTGCAAGGCCTGAGCTTCTCTTGGACTTGGAGTGCCGCTTCTCTTTATGCTTCTCCTTGTCCTTCTTCTTTTTGCTCTTCTTGGACTTCTTTTTCTTCTTGATTTCCCGGTAAGAGTCATCAATGACTAACTCCCCGGCCTCTAGCTCCCCACCGGAGGAGGAGTCCGATTCTACCAGAATAGGTTCAAGTCCTGAAAGATCAAGGTTAGCACTGTGGGGCTCTGGGAACTGGGAGGCATCTGACCCACAGCCTTCGGGGCCAGGAGAGGAATGTGGGTCTGAGGAGGACTTGTGCTTCTTCCGGGCTGTTTTCAGAAAGCTCTGTAACTCGTGTCCTAGGAGTAAAGCACCTTGCTCATCCCGAGCTGATTTCTTAGAGGATTTTTTCACAGTAGCTTGTTGAGAGGGGTACTGAAAAGGCTCCTCATCAACTGAGCTACTTCCCTTCTCCTTTGGTGAGAGAATTAGTTTCATCTTTAAGCCATCAGGCTCACGAAGGGTCAGTGTCTCTGTGTTGACATACAGCGGTTTCATTTTTTTTGATTTGTGGGAACCACCATCCTCCAGGGACAGGTCCCCACTGCTTCCACTTACTTTCTTCCTGTGGTGTTCTTTTTTACTCTCTGAATGACTTGAAGAACTAGAGGACTTTTCCCCTGTCTTTTTGGAGGGCTTGGAGCCTGCTGCCAGTGGGGAAGTGATGGCTTTCAACAGGTCCATGGCTGTATCGGCAGATTGCGGGCTTGACTTTTTCTTTTTCTTCTGTGACGATTCCAAAGACGAAATGTCTGGAAATAATCAAGAGAAGTAATGTCCACATGACAAACCAACTTCCAACAAGTTTCCTCTCTCACCAAAAACACTCAACTAATGTGAGGAAGAGGCTAAGAGAAATGATTTGAGGGGAGTCCCTTCAACTGATTCCTGATGATGCCCGTGTGCTTCTTGGCTTGGTAGATGTTGCCTGACCCTGGACACAGTTCTTGCCACTGAAGTTGTTTCTCTGCATTGAGTCTTCACAGCAACCAGAGAGGACAGACCCGGAAGAACGGTCTAAGCTGTGGGATTACGAGCAGTTACAATTTCGGTTACACTGCAGACAGAGTGTCATTTGTTTCGGTGTTCAGGATAAGCCCATTCTAGTAAAGGGTTAGTCTCATCAGCTTTGCGTATAAGAGAGCTTAGAAAAACTGGTCTTGTGAGTGGATATGCACTGGACTAAGAAGTAACCCACAGGTGCAGGCCAGAGGGCCCAGGACTACATATGGCAAAGGGATGCTAGGTAACAATGGGCAGAAGATAAGTGGATGATTGAGGGGAGAAGGAACCTGGTACCTGGTATATCACAAATGAAGACTGTTCTTCTATGCTGAATCCTCCAAAATACCAGCCCTCCACCTCTCTCCTCCTTCACACTGGTTTATCGGCACTCAGAACAAGAACCACTGCCCTGTTAAATAGGCCACTGAGTCAGCAACATCTGGATCCCTTTCCCCTACCCCGACTCCAAGAACCAGTGATGTGTTCATCCCACCTGCTACCCTTTCCCATCCTTACCTCCATAGTAGTAATCATCAGAGGAGTGCTTCCTCTTCTTCTTATGCGTGTCCGTCCCCAAGAAATAAAGTTCACTATCCTGGAATTGAAGAGGAAGAAGAATTGACCAATGAGTAAGACGATGAAGCAAAGGCAGTTTGGCACCAATTTTGTTCTCTGAGTTCTGACTTAGGAAGACAGAGTAAAACACAGGGAATATTAAAAATAGCGAACGATGTTTAATTTTTTTAAGGTTTTAAAAATATACTTCTTTCCTCAAGTACTAGGACATAGGACGGGAGAGTTAAAAACGTGCCTAATTCAAATGTTTCAAATTTACCTTTAACTTCTTCTTGGAAGAATTTCTGACCTGAGCAGCGATTTCTTCCTCTTCCCTTAAAAAATCTTTGTAAGAACGTTTCTTTTCTCGTTGGCTTCGGCCAGCAGCTAGTCCTGTGTCCTCAGAGTTGTGATCACCATCAAAGCAATCTGAAAGCCAGGTTCGTTTGGGAAAGGAAATGAGAAAGGTCAAGTAAGTGACAAACAAATCACCATGTATGTAATCCAACCGTCCCTCCATTTCCAAGTTAAAATAAGGTTTCAACAAGTCCACTGGAATATAGGACTAAGATCCAAGGGGACAAGAGTATTTTTTGATGACCTGGCTGCAAATGACAAGAACCAAACCTGAAGAAACAATGCTTCCACGCTATGCAAAGGCCCAATGTGCATCCTCAGACATGGTTTCTTAGTTGTGATTTGGCAGGTGGACACAGACTTGCAGAGGTAAGGCTGAAAAGAATAAGGATTCATGTGCTGTGCTGCTCTGTGGGAGTCCAAAATGTGATTCCTATCCCCAGACTCCTGCACACTGGAGCTGGCAAGGACCACGAGTGCTGCAGGCGATCACCCCAATAGACTACAGAGACTTATATTTCAGCTCTCATGTTGGAACCCTGTCCTTGTTTTCGCTTCCATGGGCCCAGTCTGGGGATGATGTGGAGGCTGAGTGCCTTAATATTGCTCTGGACCATCACTGAGAGTCCAGGCTGTGATGGCCAGTCCTGGTCTCTATGTCCATGGGCTGCAAGAATCGAAGAGGAAACCCCCTTTGGAATGCTTCTCAGATTAAGGGGTCATACCTTCTTTCTTCACGGAGTCATCATAAGCCATGGCGGTCCTGCAGGGCCTTTGTGAATGTGTCACTGTGTCCAGGCTCCTTCCCGTCTACAGGACCAGGTCTGAGAAACAAAGAAGGAAAACCCTCCTGTAATGCGAAATCACTGTGGAGAAGCAACCTTCCAGATGGAAATGCGTAGTGATCCAAGGGCAGACTGGAAGGGCAGCAAGAAATAAAGGAGTGTCTTGTCACCTCCTCATTCTGTTTGTAAATACATTGGGGTTGAAACTGCAGGAAGTGTGCTGGGCTTAATTTGATTTATGAGTTAGAGTTGTGGTTTGGTGAAGTATATAAAATACCTCTCATGTAATAAAAAATAGCTCAAAATTATGAGAATTTCTGAAATGCCAACAGGACTGACAAAACTGAGATGGTGAATACTGACATTAAGTCAGAAGGAAAGGTTCAATCATGGCTACAAATGCACAGATAAAGCAAGATGCAGAGGAAGACAGATTACAGCAAACATTCCAGACCGTAAAATCCTATCATGTGGATTGGTGACAGGTTAACAACTATTGTACTGCAGTTTACATATGAAAGACATTTAGAGTGTAATTTTTTTGGTATGCATTTTGTTGGCCTGTACGAATTTGCTCAAAACCGTGGAGGTGTAAAAGCAAAGACATTTCTTATATTAGTTGGCCACATGATAGCTTTCAAGGCTATCAGGCCTTTCTAAAAGGCTAGGTGAAAGTAAAGAAGAATTATCATTTGTCCATTGGTGGTGAAGTTTTTATGATTATTAAGATTTTCACTGATTTGAAGAATTACTATAATGTAAATATTCTAAACATCATTTTGAATTTGTTAAAATCTTTTTTTTGGATGTTCAAGTCTACATGTCTACTTTGACTTTGACAATGACAAGCCACAGACTGCACTCTAAGGTAAAGCTCTTCAAGTACTTTAAGGACAGGCAATGTCACAAATCCTGCAGGAAGTCTTCGCAGGAAATTTAAGAATGACATTCTAAATATATGAGAATGTTCTCATCCAGTTAGTGAAATGCTTACAAGGTGATCGGATTGGTTACTTATTACTTATTTAAATTTTATTTTACCTTCATTGCTATATGGGGATTTAGAAATGCTGACGGGCTCTTCAGTGAGACATTGCCAGTCTCTTCAGGTGGGTATGAGTAATACTGAAGTGCGTAACTTTTGTGAAAGAAAATCTAATTAACAAAGGAAACTCTCTTACGAGTCACTTTTAAAATAAACAGAAAGAAAAAAAGGCTTAATTGCACAAGTCAGATAAAATACAATGCACACACATGCCTAAGTTGAACATACAAAGAGAAAAAGCATTACCAAGAATGATTTACAAGGAACATTAAGAAAAGTAACATAAAAAAGCATTTCTCCACTTCCCTGAGAAGGAGAAGGAAGAAAGGACTTGGTCAAAGTTAAGAGAATCTAGAGTGAAGTAAAGAAACCAAACGAACTGAATTATTTTACTGATAAACCAGAGAACTGCTTGCCCTGAGGGCTTTATAAGGTCAGAGCTCATGTAGAAAAATGAGGCAACATACATATATCATGCAGCCAGCTTTTCATGCTCCAGTATTCTCAACTTTCTCAAATAGAAATTCCTGCCTTCCCCTTTCCACACAAGGGGTGCTGACTCCAAACGTGGTGAAGGAAGGGGGAATGTCATTGGGAATCAAGTCCATTCATTTGAAAATCATATCTCCTCTCACTGGCACTAAAACATACTGACTTTATTAGGAAAAAAAAAGTGTATATATATATATATATATATAATGTTGGTCCCATTAGTTTTCATAGACTGGTAATGCTAAGAAATACCACAACTTGAGACCTCAAGTTAAATGTCTTCATGCCAAATGAATTTTGCTAAGAATGTTTAATAATAATCTTAAAACATTCAATATCATAAATATGGCCACCAGTCTGTTGTCAACTAGAAAATACACTTCTAACTGAAGCAAAGGCAGGCCCTGAGACTTACAGTTTGGCCTTCTTTTGAGTAACATCAAAACTAACATAAAACAGAGTTAACAACAGAGTGGGAGTAACTACCTCCAAAGACAGTATGAGAAAGAAAACCATGATGTGACTTCTGAACTACGAAAAAAGTGTTCATGGTCTCATAACTGACTTCTCTGAAAAACAATGACTGGATTTAAAAAGTTGTGAAAGGGAACAGGAAATTGAGTTGATCTTCCAAAGCACAGGCCAACACAGAAAACACGAACTGGTGTTAGCATTATGTATTGGAGTTAGGCCTGCTACTATTTAAATTTTCATAAAAACAATGAGAAGCATTTTATAAATTACATGCCTAAATAAGCTGTAGAGAAAAACTGAGTGGGGCCTGAAGGCAAGGCTGATTCACTAAAGAAGTAGAAGAGCCAAGAGTCTAAAAAACGAAAATTAAACACAATGGACCATGCCACTCACAGCTTGGGCAGACTGATGGACCTTGAATTTTTAAGTTCTTTAAAATCAAGATACTGCAGTTCAGGGGTTAGTTTTGGTTGCTGACTCATAAAAGAAAGATGAAACCAGATAAAGAAGTCTCAAGCAATAGTATGGAAGAAAGGCAGAGTTAGGACAACATTTATAGAGGATCAGATGATCCTCTGATATTCCTTCCCGGTCTTGAATATCATCCATGATAAATTCAGAGTTCAGGGTTAGGCAGCAGATTGTGGGATTAACGAAAGTGAAAATACCAGATTTGATTTTCACATTGGAAAGCAGGGGCCATAATTACATTAAATGTTGGCAAAAGTAGAACAGGTGTTAACACCCATTCTCCTGAATTCCATCATGTAGGAGCTTATAGAATTCAATGTTGTCAACTTTAAGAGGCAGGGACAGTTTTACGATTATGTTCCTCTCAGTGTGCTAAGAAATGACAGCGTAGGTGAAAGTTCATTATTTAATGTTGCGTATGGAGGCCAGAAACATGTCATCACAAAAGATGTGTACTTATGCAATGTGCAAATTGTTAAATGGCTCTTCTGGGACTCTTCTTCAGGGTTTGATAAAGGGGGAGGCGCAGCCGCTGGTCCACTTGTAGAGAAGTTTGCGTGCATTTTGTCCAGGCACAGCTTTGGGGATGACCAGAGTGATGAATGAAAGAGCAAAAATAAACAGATACAGTATTTTCTTATGTTGCAGGTCCAAACGATAATTATTGGGGAGGTGGTGGCGGTGGTAAAGTTTCAGAAGGTGATTGGTTTGAGGTAACCTGAGCCTCAGCAATCGCTAGCAAGCTTCTTCATCCCAGAACGTAACTGTGTTGAAAAAGAGGGAACAAAGTAAGCCCCCCCGATCCACGCGGCAGGCCAAATCCCGGAACTCCATCCAGGTCTAGCGCGGGGTGCGGGCCTGGCTGCAGGGTCGGCGTTCTCTTCCAGCACTCCCTCCGCGGACTCAGGCCGCCTGTCCGTCCGTGCAGGTGAGGGAAGGAAGGTGCACGTCCAGCTGTAGCCACTCTCTGACTTGTCGCTGCTGTCGTTCGGCTTCCAGGAGCGCGCTGGCCTTGTCAGTTTTGCAGAGCTCCCCTCCAGCGTCCGCACACAGCCACTCCGAATTCCTGCCCCTCCCTTCTCCGGGAACCTACCTATGCAGCACTCGCAGCCCCTGCCAGCTCTGCGAACTGCGGAGATCCCGGCAGCCTGGGATGGGGACTGAGCCCTCTCACTGCTTGGCAGCTCGGAACCACGACCACCGCACAGATTGGCTCACAACACACATTTCCAAAAAGCCACCGATACAAATTTCGACAAGCTCTGTCCAATCAACAGGCTTTCCTTTGAGGGTTTTTTTTTTTTTTTTTTATTTGTTCTGCTCTAAGGGAATATAATCAGCCACCTGCTTAACCGGCGGGGCGGGGCGGGCGGGGGGGGAAGGTGCTCCTCTAATGCACGATATAGAGGGAATCTACGAGTAATGGCCGTGGGGGGAACGGGCCGTACGGAGACCACCCTACGACAGGCACGTTCCGACTGGGCCGCTCGCAAAACAGGGCGCGCCACACGGGGCCACATACAGGGAGCCCCCAGGACCACCATTTTTGCGGTCCCCACGCAAACCAATGGGATTCTCCCGGCCGTTTTGCAGCAACAGCTAGTTCAACAAAGCTCTGTGAAGAGGAAAAGAAGAGAGCTCCTCGCATCCTCTCCTGCCAGCCCAGGGCCCTGCCCTCCCGCGCCGGCCGGGCCCCCCGCACCCCCGCACCCCGGGTCCCGAGCCGCACCGCGGCCCCGACTCGCTCCCCGCGGCCCCGCCGGCCTCCCGGCGCCCCCGAGGGCGGAGGCGGCCCCGGCAGGGGGAGGGGCGGCCCCGGCCCGCAGGCCCCCGGGGCGGCCGCACGCCCCCTCCCGGCCCCGCAGCTTTCCCGCCTTCCCCATTTGAACGGCTCCCGCCCGCCCTCCTTCCGCGGCCCGCTCCAGCCCCTTCCCGGGGGCGGCCTGAGGCCGCTACTCCAGTCCCCGGCTCGGCCCCTGGGCTAGGCCGCGCTGGGCCTGCGGCGCCCCCGCGGCGCTGTCGCGGGCCCCGGCGGCGGGTGGCGGCGGGGCGGGGCCGCGGCCGCCTCGGGGAGGGGGCCCAGCCCGGCCTCGTGGGGGCTCCGCTCGCCGCTACCTTCACTCGGCTCGCCCGGATCCCGCCTCAGCGCCGCCGACCGCCGCCATCTTGGAGAAGGAGAGAAAAGCGCGAGCGGCCAGGCAGCCTCAGTCGAGCCCAGAGCGCAGGCTCCGGCTCGGGAAGGGGAACCCCGCTCCGCACGGAGCGCCGAGCGCATCGAAAGGAGCGCGCCGCTCGCGGAGCCCCGGCTCGCGGAGCCCCGGCTCGCGGAGCCCCGGCTCGCGGAGCCCCGGCCCTGGAGTTGACGGGGAGTTTTCGGGGGGGCCGGGCGTGGGCTGGAAGCTTTACGACGCTTGTATCGTTCAGTCCTCGCTGCGTCCCCGTGAGGTAGGACGCTGGCTCACATTTCACGGATGAGAAACAGGCTCCGAGAGGTTAAGTGACTTGCCCGGCCGCGCACAGGTGGTTGCAGGAGGAGCCAGGTACCACTCCACGTCTTCTGATTCTTACCCAAGTGCCCTTTCCACAACGCTATGCCCTTTTCCTTCGAGATGGTGTTATGCGTAAATGCCGTCCCCGAGAAGCCCACGTCGTGCAGATTAAGAGCAGCGGGGCTTATTTGGAGTTTGGCATTGCTGTTCGGGTGCTTGGCATATTTCGGATGAGGGGGAAGCACCTATAAAAGAATTCGCATGGTGAATCGTCTGCATTTCTCCTCCCAGATTATTTGCATTTATTTTATTTATTTATTTATTTTTAAAGATATTTATTTATTTATTTATTTATTTATTTATTTATTTATTTATTTATTTATTTATGATACACATAGAGAGAGAGGCAGAGACACAAGCAAAGGGAGAAGCAGGCTTCAGGCAGGGAGCCCGACGCGGGACTCGATCCCGGGACTCCAGGATCACGCCCTGGGCCAAAGGCAGGCGCGAAACAGCTGAGCCACCCAGGGATCCCCAAATTATTTGCATTTAAAAGTGGAAGCAGGGATCCCTGGGTGGCGCAGCGGTTTGGCGCCTGCCTTTGGCCCAGGGCGTGATTCTGGAGACCCTGGATGGAATCCCACGTCGGGCTCCCGGTGCATGGGGCCTGCTTCTCCCTCTGCCTGTGTCTCTGCCTCTTTCTCTCTCTCTCTCTCTCTGTGACTATCATAAAATAAATAAAAATTAAAAAAAAAAAGTGGAAGCAGTCTTCAGACAAACGAAGGGATGCCACACACAGGAGAGAGAGGGTCTCTCTGATTTGCCCTGGAGAATTTGGACTCGTAGGTAGGAATCGCTGTGTGAAGATCTCCGTTCAATATGAAGATAAGCTCATTTATCTAGAGCAGGTCAAGGGTGTTTGGCTACTTTGTTAGGTAGTGAGCTCCCCGTTACCAAAGGAATTTAAGAAGCAGCAGCTAGCGTCCTAGTTACTGTAGAATGGATAGGTTGGAGATCTAGGTTGGCTTCTAGAGTTGTGAACCCCATGAAGCACTGTGCAAAATGACGTGTCCGTGCACCTGTGTGTTTTCTGGGGTTTAGATCCTGTCAAAGATTAGGAATCCCTATCTTAGTGGGCTTTCTAGGCCAGAATTGGATGGGTGCTTGCAGGGGATGTAGTCATTCTGCACACTTGCAGGCTTAGAAATTGAGACCAAGAAAAGCGGGTGATTTGACTCAGAATGCACTGCTGCTTCGTGATCAGATACGGATTAGAAGCCAGATTGTTGGACTCTTAGTTCAGTGCTCTTTGCACCAAGCGATGCTCTTTCTCCCTCTGCACTGAGTAGAATGTTGGATTCTATTTAATCATTGTTTTTAAGTTTGTAGGATGCTGAGATGTTCAAAGAAACATTCAAAGTTGTTGAATTTAGTCCCAAAATGTAACTGTGAATAATAAGATGACCATCAAGGCCCCTTTCTGCTCACCAAAAAGATTGTCAGTAAGTTTCACCAAAAGATATGGGATTGCTCTTCCGGGACACCTTGCCCGACATTAGGCTTCTCTGTGAGGTATTTAAGAGCCGTATTTCCCCTCCTGTTCTTCAGTATGGGTCAGGATGCTTTCAGATGAAGCAACATAATCCCAGTTCAAAATAGTTTGCTGGGAAAGGAGAATTTATTGGCTATTACTGAAAAGTCTGGTACCTGTGGGTGTGGCTGGATCCAGGGAGGGACTCAAGTCTCTTGACAGAGGTGCTTTCCTCTGAGTTGGCCTTATTCTCAGGCTCCAGGTGATGACTCCACCTCCAGGCTTTAGCATCCTTGCTACTGCTCAAGTCCCTGGACAGGAAGTTTCTTTTACACATTTGTTTTGGGAGACTCACTTGCCTGAATTGGATCACGTATGCAAACAAAAAGCAGTCGGTATGAGCAGAGGTGCGGGGTGTGTGCTGAGCATTTAAACCAGGTCACATGCTTACCCCTCCCCCCCAAAGCAGGATAAACTCAGGAAGTCAGGGGTATTGTCAGATGGGTAAAGGAGTCCCAGGCAGGCAAGAACAATAGGCGTCCACCCAGCCATACCACTCGCGTCGGCCTGCCTGCCCCAGGGTCCCGTTTGTCCAGTTCCTTCTTTTATCCCACCTGAGGTTGGGCATACTGAACTATCGCCCATCTTAACCTCCTGGAGACCTTAAGTCTATCACTCCTCAGTCTGTTCCCTTCTTCCAATCTTGTATCACAGCGTGTGCAGTCATTCATTTAACAAATATTGATTGGAAACATGACATGCGTCAGGCACTCTCCTAGGTGTTCAGAATAGAACAATGAACAAAACTCAGAGTCTTTGACCCCCCCTGGAGCTTACATGCTAATGGGGGGGGGAGAAAATAAATAGACACCATGTTAGATGGTGATCAAAGGTGGAGAAAAATGCCGGGTGGGGTAAGACATTGCAGGAGGGAGTGGCGGTAGGGATTGTTAATTGAACTAGTGATCAGAGAGGCTCCTCTGGTGGGGTGGAGGCTGGAGGCTCCTCTGGTGGGGTGGAGGCTGGAGGCTCCTCTGGTGAGGTGGAGGCTGGAGGCTCAGGCTGGCCTTCTAGTCAGAAGGGGGCTGGCGGTGGGGGCTGGGAGGCCATAGTTCCTGGAATGGGATACAAGGCCTTCCTCCGAGCCTTGATGGAAAAACATTCTCGACTGAGTATCTTGCCGTGGTTCTTTTGTTTCTGTGACTTGGAAAGGGAGAAAGGAGGATAGCTTGGTAGTCTAAGGTGGGGAGGGGCCTGGTCACGGTGGGCTTTGTGAGGCAGAACACCCTGTCCTGTGATGACACGAGGATGGCATCTGAGATGTATGAAGATCGGGTGCTGCCAGGGGCCGGGGCTGTCCTCTGGCCCACTGCACCTGAGTGAACTGCCCAGTGCACGGTAATAGCAGGTGGCCCATCCAGTTGTGCTGGATTTGGATACTTTCACCTTCGAGTTGTTTTTCCAGACTTTGCCCTCTCCAGCTGTGTTTGGAGCAGCTTTGTTGTGTGAGGCCCAAAGGATATGTACATGACAGGGCCCTTTTGGCGGGCAGTGATGGGACCTAATTAAAACTGCCATAAGCAGCAAGAACATTATGGCTCATGTGAAAAAAACACCAAGAGCCACCGAGAAGCTAGCTGTCTAGGCCTCCGGGTCCAGAGTTTTCAGATCCCTCCCTCCTAGGTCTATTCTCTCAGGTTGGCCATCCTCATGGGCCTGGAGTCATGGCCACAGGTAGCCCAGGCTTCTGTGTTCACAGTCTCCCAGAGATCAGAGAGCGAGGAGGGCTTCCCCAGACCTGCTCCATGGGAAGGAATCCCAGGGAAAAATGATCGGTTGGCTTGGGGTCATGTGGTCATTCTGTCTTGTGATGGCCCATTCCTGGCAGAGCCATTAAGTTGGAACAAGGTGAGAGTCCTTCCACAACTAACAGAGGAATCTATTCTGGGAGGACAAATAGTAAACCCTCTGTAATAAGGCAGTGATTCTCTGTTCCTGTTTTTGAGCAGCACCTATTTTATGCACAGCCTTGATTCTTCACGTGCCTTGATACCTGCCCCAGCCTCACTGACTTTCTCCTGGTCCCCTGGGCACACGGTGCCCTATGGCATCCACGCCATTGTGCACACGTGTCCTTGTCTGTAGTCAGCCGCCCCCCCGCCCCGCTCCTCTGCTTTTGCCGACTCTGCACCCAGAAAGCTTCTACTTATTCTTCATGATGTAGCTTGAATCCCCTCTCCGAGTCGTGCTCTGTGTTCCC